GTTTCATCATTTCAGTTAGTTCGCACCAGTTCGCACTGAATTACGAATTCGCAAAACAATGGTAAAATGTGAATTATTGTACCATTTTTACGCTCAAATATTGCGATTCGTCAATTCGTCTTTAGACACTTTGTCCACACCAATGAAATAAGTTTGAAGGAAACTCATTCGATGCGGCTTTACACGACAAACAAAACTGTCTATTGCTCAGTTGCCATGTACACTAAGAACACCAACTTTTGAAATATTCTTGTTCTTGGACAAGGTAGGCTTTTTAACATTACGAATATATATTCATTCACTTTAATACCGAATTTTCCATCTGCATCGTTTTTTGTACGGCAGTTGGCGGCACAACGCCGTAGAAACTTGGCCAGAGTCTCATTTTGTGGAGAATTCAAGGAGCTATTCAATGATATGGTTGAGAAACTTCTGAAAGAAATTTTAAGGTCACTTAAAACCCAGGTTTTTCAGTAGTCTCTGTCACAAGATCCCGAGGTGTAGCGTACCCAGGAAAAATTATTTTTGAATTTCAAAAATCTCACCATTGGAAAGAGCATATTCGAAAACCTATAAAAAGTATGTTTATAGACTTACGTACTACTTCTACACGACATGTCCATATGTACAGCGAAAATTTGCAGTAGTGTTCCTACTGTGTGATCAAATTAAGTGTGATCGAAACATTTTCTGTAGAAAAATATTTTAAACTATATATCATTCAATGCAGTTTTTCAGGCTGATTCTGAATATGTTATTATTGTTTAATACAGCCGCTTCTGAAACGGGAAAGGTTGAACTTCCCTGGAAAAACCAATAGTTTTTTGAAAATCTATAACTTCGGCCAGTAGCATTTATGCATCTTTATGCTAACTCTATAGACGTGTCACATAGAGGTCAACATTCTACGAAAGTTTCAATAAAATTGAACATAAGAAAAATTTAGGAAACTCACTTGACTGAAGAGAATGTTTCGGAAAGCACTCCGCGTAGATAAAAACTTGAATATTTCCAACAGGAAAAACTTGAAATAAAAAAACTTTCCCGGATCGATAGAGCAAGTAGCTCCTCTTTCCGAATATGCAGAATTCATGTGCACATGTTTTTCCCTTTCTGTGGTACATGCTCCTTTTTCCAGAGGTCGCTGAAAACTAGCGAGTTTTTGAAAATAGACTCTCTCAACGATCTTAATAGATAGAACAAAAATTCTTTCTCCATTTAATCGAGCGTTAGTCACAGTTTAAATGGCACCACTTAAACCTTGTAAAAACTCACTTGCGTTTTTCCACCTAATGTACACGTGGTTGCCCAGTGTGGAGGTCTGTCATTTCATACAGTGAAGGTCTTCAATATAACCGTGAATTTATAGTATGGATTTATCATACCAATACCGCACATATATTGTTTCCCATTTCACATTTTTACAGTATCGTAGTATCGCTTTTATAGTTTCACAGTATCATAGTATGACTTTCATAGTTTCATCGTTTCATGGTATCAAGACAAGCTTTCTAATTTCATGTTGCATTCATCTAGGAAGAAGTAGTACAATATTGTCTTTTAATTCACTCGCATGCTGCGGCTCGCCTCCCTCACCGCTCCCTGGTAATCAACTATGATGGCGTGAACTACGGAAGTGATACTGTGATACTGTGAAACTATGAAATTCATTCTATTATACTGTGAAAATTAGAAACTGTGTATGTGCGGTTTTGCGATGATAAGGCGATATTATGAATTCATTGTTATACTATAGACGTTCGCTGTATCAATTGACTGCTATGCCATTGTGAAAAGTACCAAAAACACATAGCAATGGGTTTGCAGAGATATTGTTCAAAGGTAGTCGATTTTCTTACTGATATGAACTTCGAAAGAAAACCAGGGACCTTGAACACCCTAAAAACCATATGCTCTTTCATTCTGGAAACCTTTCGAGCAAATTTAAAATGGGGCCGATTCTCGCTCTTATTGTACTTTGTCCTGTGAACCCATGTATGCCTCCACAACACGATCGTTTAATTTTTTATCGTTTCACATTTGCATTTTTAGTCGATTCTTATCGCTTACGTGATTACCTCATTATCAATTTAATAATTGCCTTTCGCTTATCAGCTGCGACTTTTTAACTCAAGTTATTACATACGACTCTTACTTCCATGCATTATTTATTCTCAATTCTATCTCACTTGTATCTTTCATTTCAAATATCACATCTGTCAATCAGATAGTGAGGCTCTTGTATTCACTAAAGAGGCTTTATTTTCACTTCGCTTCATCTACTACATACACTATTTTAACGGAGAAGATGTTATTACACTTTCGCATCGCCATCCTCTTAGGATTACTTTTGAATATTTCAATTCATCTCAGTTCCTGTAGATCGACCAAACCACAATTACCACTTCGACCTTCACGCACTGTTTATGGATTTAACCATGAATCTGACGAAGAACCTGTTTATCTGAACAGATCACCAACACATGAACGTCTAGCAATCTCTCAAGATACTGAATGGCCAGAATGGATATATAAAATTTTCCGGTTCAAATAAAGTAATACTACAACAGATATTCAATCAACAGATTAGTGATGTATTTTAAAAGAAAGTTCTTACTGTTGTAATGATGGAGATTGTAATCTAAATGACATTCTTGAATTAAACGTTATGAAAACACTTGTTTCAAGAAATCGAAGTCTTCTAGTCAACTGACTGCAAAAATCATATATTCCTATTTTTCTGAGAAATCTCGTTACCCTAGCCTTTCTTGAAAATACTTTTTGTCTTGTATCGAGCACGGTCTAATGTAGAGGAAAGTCTGGGCTGCATAATAAGACCGCTCGCAGCGTTCCACGGACGTTTTTACAAAATTTATGAATATATTTAATTATTTTCAAGAACCTCAAAAACGTCATCTTTTTCAGTTTTGTTAATATGTCTTCTATGTCCAATGCTGCCAAACTTTTTTCTTATACATAGTCTGATAGAGCAAAGTGTTCTCTTCAATAACACTCCTTCTAAGCTGACAGAAATAGTTGAATATGTACCGAGCATAGGTAGAAAGATGCACAGAATTCAAACTTCAAGTGGAATTTATTTTTGACTTTTTCACACAACATTCGATAGAGAATTTGACGCTAATCACGAATATAACTGCCCCGATTTTTTCAAAAAAATTTTGCCGAACGAAAAATCGAAAAAGCTCCAAAGGTGTCGGAAACGCCAAAAAAACAAGTTTCTGAAAAAATAACCGTAGTGCTTTTGCGTTTTTGTTTTGAGGTTCGCACTAAAGTTTATTGAATTCGGCGTCCAAACCTGAATCTAAAAAAGTATCCGAAACACATAGAGCACAAAATCCTCTCTGACTAATTTGACTTTTTATCAATCTTCACATTGAAAAATTACCGAGATTTTCACTAAAATTGAAAACCAACTAAAACTTGCGAAACACATATAATACGACTCAGTTTTTGATCCTGATTCCGAATACGATATTTGCATCGCTCAGAAGTAGAGGTCTGCGGGACAGTCCCAGTCCCATCCCGATCCCGCGGGACCTTTTACGGGACCGGGACCTAAAGATCTGCGGAACTGTCCCGGTCCTGCGGAATTGTCCCAGTCCCGTGGAACTTTTAATAGGATTACGATCGGGTTTTTTGAAAATAGTCTTGTATGAAGTTAAAAAATTTCTTTGAAAAAATATTTACGGGACCATGGGACCGGGACCAAAAATGAGTTCTTTCCACGGGACCAAAACTTTTTTTGTTCACACGATCGGGACGGGACCGGGACCAAAAACGTTTGATTCCGCAGACTACTCAGAAGTTGAGTTCTGATCGAGAAAATTGCGAATTGCGGACAGAATTCTGAGTTTTTCGCCTCTTATTTAGAAAAAATGAATTTTCTGAGAGAAGAAAAAAACTCAAAAACGCACATGTATAGTTTTGAAGAGGAACAAACAGCGGATCTAGCCATGTAAAAATATTGGCTCAAGCACCTCTGAAAAAACCTGAGTTAGGCTTGCAAAAACTGATTCGGTTTTTGAGCCCTATGTGTTTCGGATACTGTTAAAAACTCGGTTTTCGGTCTGAAATCTTGCAACTTACTTTTTTAGATTCAGTTTTGGACGCTGAATTCAAAAAACTTTAGTGCGAACCTCAAAACAAAAACGCAAAAGCACTACGGTTATTTTTTCAGAAACTTGTTTTTTTGGCGTTTCCGACACCTTTGGAGCTTTTTCGATTTTTCGTTCGGCAAAATTTTTTTGAAAAAATCGGGGCAGTTATATTCGTGATTAGCGTCAAATTCTCTATCGAATGTTGTGTGAAAAAGTCAAAAATAAATTCCACTTGAAGTTTGAATTCTGTACGTCTTACATAACAGGAAAAACACGATTTTTCTTCTTCTGTGATTTGCTGGTCAATGAATTAATAGAAGGGTCTATAAGACTAATGCTAAAGAATCATTACAGATATCTTCTAGTGAAAGAACTTAACAGCAATACAGTAAAGTTTTATAATTCTGATATTCAGTCAAAGTGTAACTTGTTGTTGACGTCTGTTCTGAACGTAGTGGAAAATCACATGTTTCATACAGCAGCCCAAGCAAAACCTGCCCAGCAAAAATATCTAGATGCATTCGCTAGTGCATTCGCTAGTAAAAAAACAATCTGTGCCTACGAGAATCGAAGTCGACCGCCTATGAAAAAATTAGAGGTTAGAAAGTTGAAAAAGCATGCTACTGAAGGTTGTACTTTTTACTACACAAATAGTAATTAATTTGGAAAAGCTGAGTACTCAGCAGTGGATTATTACAGATTAATGTGTTGTGACTTAGAAAAGGGTTTTTAGGCGCTTAGAATGCATTTTGTATGTGCTACTCACACAGGCAGTTTTTGTGCGATTAACTGAGTAATTTTTAGGTGGTTAGAAAGTGCGCTTTCATTTACTTATTCTACCGTTTTTGAGCTGTAAATTTCTTTTATTGCTCTTGAGACTTTTCATATTATGATACAACTCCTTACTCTGAATAACTTTTCATCTTTACCTAACAATACAAATACACCGTTGTCAATCCAATACGTGTCATCTAATAAAGTACCAGTATCCTCATAATTCATTAAATATATACATGGTTTATTGTTATTTTTTTTTTCTTTACGATGATATTTATCTGTTAAATGTACTTCACCGGGAGCTGTTAATAATTGTTTTGACTGTTGTTTTAAATCGGACCAGCAAATATCATCTAACACCATATAATCGGCCTCTTCACACCATTCAGCCAAACTAAAACTGCCACGGTGAAACATATGTGTGCCAAGTACACGGGCAAAACACGTTTTTCCTAAACGAAATATCAAACCGATAGCAAATATAACTGTGAAAACCCGCCCATTTTGTTAAAAGTACCACACAGATTTTAAACGGCCTAACAGAGAGAGCTTTTCACTAAGACTGTGACGGAGCAGTGCTCAAAATGAAAAAAAGGAAAACGTTGTCTAACCTGATTGTGAGTATCCGATAATAAACAAACATTTGCTTCTTGTTCTTGTTCATATTTGATCATGAATACGCTGCTGAAAATCGTTTTCTGACCAATGATTAATTTTGTCGCGATGAGCAGGTGATAATGAAAATGATGTTATTGGAAATGGTGGTTTATAACTAAGTAGTTGTTGAAATTTTTGTTCATGACCGATGAGTTGATTTAATGTGTTTTTCATGGAAGAAAAATGTATTAAATATTCATACGGCATTGTGGATTGTAAAATATTCATAGCTGTGAGAGACAATTAGACAGTCAATAAAAATTAAAGGTGTTCTAAACATTATATTACCATCAGATACTGTTGTTTGTTGTAATGCTATTGCTGCATTTTCATTTCGTTGTTCGAAGTAATTACTATTCTTTCTCTTTGATTCTTTTTTAATATTGGGAGAACTATAACTTGTTGATTCTGTAAAGTAATCGTTATTAAATTTAATTTCTTCATTAAAATCATCATCGTCTAATATTTCTTCGTAATCAGTTCTTATTGCATTTGGTAGTATATCATCTAAAAATAAACGTTTATAATTAGGTCTTACCTTAAACATTAAATGTATTGATACTGCTGGCGGCGCTGCTGATGTGGATGATACACATAAATATTTTAAATTATTTTTAAAACGATTGAATATTTGTACATAAATATCATTATAACCACTATTATCTTGAATATTCCTAAATTGAAAATGATGTTTTGAAAATCGCATTGCTGTACCAATCTTTTTCGGTGTATTATATCCTGAAAATACTGTCGGTATTGGTGTAACGGGTGAAATATAAGGTGGTGAAAATGAGGGTAATGATGATGATGGACGAACGCAATAGGTGGTATTTAACGTGGATGATGAAAAATGCCGTATAGTAGACATTCTGTGTAGACTTGTTAAAATTATGACTGCTAAAGAATATTTCCTACTACAGTGCATTTATAGAATCATCAGTATACACCTTTTCTATTTTGCTAGCTGTTTCTTCCACTAAATGACATCAAAACGATGAAGAAACCGGTTTCAACCATCAAAGCAAATCAATGTAACTTCTGTTCTCTTTTCGGGTACTGATGCCAAAAGAATCTGTAATGTAATTAATAGAAATATCTTCACAAGCTTCTTCACCAGCTTCTTAATTTAATTTTGATTCATTTTCTGATGAGATCGTGGTTTATTAATTATACTTTACTTATAGATGAAAAATATACTCCTTAACTTTCGAAAACAATTACTTCTGATTTTAGAAGAAATCTAAATTCATATATATAATCTCGCACCAATACTACGACTCAGAAAACAACTCGACATCACTAAAAACGGAGCAGAAAAATATAATCCTACGTTTCAGTGATCATTCTGGTACTTTTTTGATTTTCGCGCCTGCCAATTTAGACTATGTCAGTTCTAAAAGTTCTTCGAAGTGCACAATCTTTCAACATTGTGTTGCGCATCACTTTTCATCTCCTCACTAATTCCCAAAGACTTTTCATAGGGCGCCACTTCGTATCAGAATACATATCATATATAGAATTTTATATATATATTTACGAAGCATTTACCGATTAGGCTATCCAGGCACATTGATCTACTTAATCGATATCTGTCATATCATGATGCAGATATAAAGGATGAACAATGAAAAAATTGGAGTGCTGCTTTGGGAAAAACGAAACAGAATAAAAGACAAAACTGTTCGATACGGAGTAGAAAAAGGTTCTGAGAGCGCTTACTAACTCTAGCTACCAATGACTGGATAGTCCATGTTTTATCACTATGGATTATTGCACTATCTCAAACGAATATCAGAATATATGGAAGTTTGAAAGAGAATAGAGATAAGTGACAGCCTCGGTGTAATAATTTCGTTATTCTCTGGTGGCTTGTGGATGTAGTAATACAGCCATACTCGGTCAGTACGGTAGATATAAAGAGTACAGGTCTAAAATGACATTCTGGCTTGACCGTATTATTAATCCGAATGGTTTGAGCGTCAGTATCTCTCGGATACACATTCTACACAAGTCCGAGCATGATGTTATCCTCATATGTGATAACGATTACCTTACGGTAATTCGGTCACTGAAAAGGATTCTCGATCCTTTTTGAGTTCTTTTTCTTATTTCTTTTAGAAAAAAATTCACGGCCGTAATCTACTAGTGTATTTATTTATTCTGTTGTATCATTATATCTTTATACTTTTCTATTTAATAGATACACTAGTGGATGCAGCTGGCTTCATAGCAAAAAGACAAAAGTTAAACCGAGCATCGCTCGATGCAGCTAGATGTGGACGATGAACTGCCAGATGCATCGACCAAAGACGATGGAGATTTTTAAACAATGGTTAAATAACTGTGCATCTAGTAATAGTCGATGCAGCTAGCTTCATACATCTAGCTGAATCTACTAGTTGCATAGTTATTTATTTATTCTTTAAAAATCTCCATCGTCTTTTAGTCGATGCATCTAGCAGTTCATCGTCCACATCTAGCTGCATCGAGCGATGCTCGATTCAACTTTTCTCTATTTCCTATGCAGCTATAGCTGCATCGATCATTGTATGTAGTGAATCTAGATGCATCGAGCGATGCTAGCTGCTTTTTTCATGCTTGGGAGTGGTAGAACCTTCAAGTTATCAATAATGCTCAAGTTATTTGGGATGACTAAATCAAGACAAGTTTCTGATACTAGACGAGTAGGTTCTCTTACTAGCTGATGCAGCCCAGCAGTGTCCACAAACGAGAAAAATTTACTACCATCAAGTGTTGACGGTTTTGTATCACACCACTTATCGCAGTGAGCGTTAAAATCCCCCAACATTAGGAGGCCAATGAAAGATCTCGTGGAGACTGCTTGGCTCATAGTGTCCGATAAGAACTCGATATATTCTTCGAAAACATCTACGCTTGACTCAGTTGACTCAGGACAGAACCAATAATACATTCCCAACTCCAGCAATAGTGAGAGCTAAAAACATTGATTCAAAGTTTTTGTTGTCAAATTGATAAAGGCGAGTGGATATAACATCATTTCGTGTATAAAGTATACATCCACCTGCTCTTTTATCTCTATCAAGTCTATGCCCAGAATAGTTTAAGATGTTTATATAATCATCCTTTATCGTTTGATCTAACCAAGATTCTACTATTGCAACCGCAAGAGGGTTTTCTTCAGACATAAAAATTTTCAGTTGATCAGTTTTTTTCAATATATTTTTATCTTTCTGTTTCTCTCGAATGGCGGACGCAAGTAAACTACGTATATTCAGAAGTACTATGGAGTGTGTGTTATTGCTCTTTCTTGTTATTTTAGTTGACATCATAGGAAAAAAAATAAAATTTCAGCAATAGAAGGCCGATCGGTCTCATAAACAATAGAGAAAAGAAGTATGCAGTTATCTTGTAAGAAGAAGAAAGAATTGTGATAAAGAAGTTGTGCGTTTATACCGAAGTAGAATGCAATGTACAGAAGAAAAGTATGTACGCAGGTCATTGTGTACTAATACCGTAAAGAAAGATAGGCCCTGAAGATAAAAACATAAAGTGTAAAGCACTGTTTTGCTATAACTCTAGAAAACGCTACAGTCCCATTTTGTTTTCAGAGCTACTGCTAAAAATTCCCAAACCACCACTTAGTTACTGCTTGTATCATTGGTATTATGTAGTACTATTTAGATCCGAAATATCTTGCTGAGATGTTGAGATAAATTCATCTGAAGTTGGAATTGTTTGATGGATTGTTTGGTTTTGTTTAGGTACAATATCAGCCATAGTTATTTTTCACAAGGATTTGTCAGATTGTTTTTGATAGACATCACCATTTCTTGTCACAATTGATTTTTTTTCAGTATCACTAACCGAGTTACGTGCACCGTGAAATGAAGCTAACGTACGTTTAGTTAAATCTTCGACAAATATTTTTGATTTTTTTTGTTTTAATAGATATGTTGAGTGTAATATTTGTTGACGAGTAGCCCGACTGAAATAACGGACAATGATCGGTCTTCTGTATCCATTTCTTGGCGGACCAACATTATGATAGTTTTCGATTTCATAGGTTGATAAATTTAATCCAAGACGAGTATTTGTAAAATTTGTTATTTTATTGACAATGTTTTCATGTTGTTCTTTATCAAAGCCATGAAATCGTAAACACCATGTTCTGTTATAACGTTCAAGATCATTTTGGATTGATCATTTGGATGAATTTTGGATTCAATTTCATTTACCTTATTGCTAATAGTCTAAAAAAAACTGTTCGAACAGTTTTTTTCCCGTGATTTAATGTATTTTTGAATACTCCGAGTTTTCTTAGAAATGATTCTGGAATTCTTTTAACAAATTCATTTTGTAGAGCAAACATTTTTCTACAAACTTAGATGTTTTACAGCTCTCAGGGAATCATGATAACTGATTTATATCAATTCTCCCGGATGCCCCAATACCAGTTAAAAACTGGTGCATGCCTAAATGTTTGAATGAAGTTGATATATGTGTACTTTCACTTTCCAGCCTGGTGCTCATATAGCATGTCGAATGAATGACACGTGGATGAATTTTTATATTATGCAATAAAATCAAAAATAAATAAGCTTTTCAATAAATATAGAAGACAACATATTCTGTAACGTTAAATACACATGATGTTAGAAATACAAAAGAAAAACAGGAAGAGAATCTGTCAAAGCATCTCTCCTACTTAAAATCTATTGCAGTAATGATAGATCCAATATGTCAAAGTTTAGCGAAGAAATTGTCTTTTTAATCCTATCCGACACCACGCTTACATCAGATACCAAAATGTGAGAATGAGTATACAAACAGTCTAACAACGTTCAGATCCCCTTTTAGACTAAAGAATCTAGCAGCAGTTAATGTGACAAATTTAATATGTGAATTAAATTCAGTTAATTATACAGAAAAACTGACATTCGAACAAAATGAACAGTCTAAACTATTTGAACAAAAAGAGACAACAACATCAAAACAATATGAACATAGACCTTCGGATCCTTCACTTTTAAAAGGTTACGAAGTAAACACGATTAAAACTTTAGAGTGTACATCAATAAATGTTCATAACCGATTACTGAAGCAAGAAGACCGAGAATTAAACTCTAAAACATGCTCTATGTGGAAACACCCTTTAGATAAATATTTTTTTATGTAAATTTCATTATCATGAATTCTTCTATTCTTGCTACAAAATATTGTTTTTGTTTCTTTCTCTGGACAAATTGACGTAAAATTGATTCTTGAACTTGCATTACATTCATTTATTTTTATTTTTGCTCTAGTGAACTATCTTAAAGGGCTGGAGATGGTTTTAAAAACACTTGATAGTCATACTGAAATGGAAATATCGATTTAATATATGCTATTCAAGAGAGCAGTGTATCTGTCGTTGAATATTTTGATAAAGCGTTAATTTATCAAGCATTTTAATTCACTGAAAGCACACTTGACATTGGCAGATTAGAAACATGTATTAGTCATCTTAAACGTTAAGAAGGAACTGATCAAAATCACCATTGTTGTTTCATACCAATTGAATCAGATTTTATTAAATGACAATGAAAATAAACTTCATTGATCAAATCAATGTTCGATATTTTCAATGAATCAATTTATTCAGATTCTGTCTAACATTAGAAACTAGAGTCTGGTTTTTATAGGGACGGAAGAGTACTCACTCATACTTCATTTTTGTTTAACAGCAGACGTTACCGTTCTCTCTCTGCTTTCAATTTCGTTTTTATAAGAAGTGACGTTCACTTGCAATCCATGACCCATTGACTGAAGTGAGTGAGTGGAATGACTATGCGCCATCACTTTACAAGCATTTCAGATAAAAATTGCGCAAAAGTTTCTCAGAAAAACATATATGTCAAACTCTGATCTGTTTTCAACACGTCTTTACAGAACGAAGTCAAGTCAAGTCAAATTTATTTAGTCCATGATCTTAAAAACTGACAGGGTGGTGATAAAAAGTTTAACAAAACCAAAAAAACTTTGACGAAATCACCCCACTACACAAAAAAGAAATAAGAAAAAGATAGAAAAAAGAAAAGATTTAAAAAAAAGAAGAAACGATATGGCTTAATATATACCGCTTTCAAGAGAGATGTTTCGTCAATGCACATTTAAAAGCTCGAGAACTAAAAGCAGCTATTACCTCTCTCGATAACCGATTCCATTCTATTATAGTTTTTGGTAGGAAAGATGAGCTAGTGGTTTTACGTTTAAATAATGAAACTTGCCAAAGACATCAATTAGAAGTTCGCTGGAGATGTTATGGTGGTAAGTGGACTAACTAAGAAAAAGCGTGATAACGCGCTTTGCCCAGTAATGATTTTGTTTTTGAAGAAGAATTTTGAATGAAGAATTTTCTTCTTGCAGCTAAGTCTGGTAACTTCAATCCCTGAATGAGAATAGTGCTATTAGAAACATAATCATTCAGTATCATGCGAGCAGCAAGTTCATGAACAGATGTTAGTAGTTCTAAATGTGTTATGAAACTACTATCTAAAAATAGTTTCATAACACTTGTTTTGTTCTATCGATTATTGATTAACCGAAAGTGTTGCATGTCTACTTGAAAGATCCAAGCGTTCACTAGGCGTTACATGAAATATCCGTGTCGTTCACTGGTTGACGATGAAACGGAGGTGACTTTAGTGTACCGAGCATAGACGGACATTTCGTTTGTATAACCCTACTACCGGTCACGGGAGCTAGAATTACACTTCATCTTATTATGTGAAACTCACTTTGAGTGTTAATGTTCAGTTTCGTTTGATTTAAATCTGCACTTTATGAAATAAGTTACTTTTCAGGTAGAAAATGCCATTTAGAAGTTTTAGCTTGTTTTTGTCGTTTTTTTCTATTTTTCCCATAGAAGAACACACTCTGATCGTTTTCTCACTAGCGCATTAAAAAATAAAAAAATGAAATTAAAGAGTTGATTCACTGGCTCTTCCATGAATTGAGTACTATCACTCGATCAACTTCTTTTCAAAAAGTTACCCGTAGAACATTAGGCTCGTTTTTGAAACGACCATGTGGAACGTGATTTTTCAAGATTTTCCTCTCAAGCCCAAATAAAACCCTTGACTACTGTACATGAAAATATGGAGGCACAAAGTCTGAGTAAAATAACAAAAGAATTAGTCCGATACTTATCGGTGTTTTCGAACAGTGATGGATTTAGTGAAAACAATTGGAAAGTTTGAGCTCATACATATCTGAAAAATCTGTAAAATCAAGTTCCGCATGGTTTTTTGAAAAATGAGCCTAATGTTCTACCGGTAACGTTTTATGCTCTACACGCTGCCGATATTGAAATCTTCGCGACTGTGAGGTCATGTAATGTTGGGCGAATGTGAATGAAGTACCGCCGGTCTCTCATCTTGTGATCCTCTCCCGGCTCTCGATGACAGATGTTATGGAGGCTTGCCTGCTATACACAAACAGAAGTATGTACCAGAGCTACGCATGAACTGGACTGGACTCGGAAAAATTATGGATGGACTTGAATCGAGGAAAAATCGGTAAACGACAAGTTGTTTTTTGTTTTATTAAAGGCGATTCTAGAATACTAATAGAGAAGAAAAAGAAATAACAGAATAAAAGTAAATTCTAAGGATGGCTCGAGAAGGATTAGAGATACATCCAGAAGGATGTGTCAATCGAAGAACTAAAGTAAAAATGAAATCTCATTCTCTAATCCTTACAATTTAGAATTTACTTTTATTCTGTTATTTCTTTTCGTTGTCTGTTAGTGTCATCGTGTGTTCCTTTTCCTTTAACTACCGGCAAACAGACTACTTCATATGTCCGTTTATATGTGCAAGGTTCCTCCCATGTAAATATTTTTCAATCCCAGACGCGTCTGAAAACGCGTTTTTTGCTGCGTTTAATCGCTCCGGAAATGCACCATTTGCTAGCGTTTAAACGCGTTTTTCCAAGACGCGCCTAAACGC